CAGTTTCATCTGGGTCAATCTCACGGTGAACATTTAAAAAAAAAAATGTTTCTAATTTTTTTATTGCAATTCAGTTATAAAAAAAAAAGTATGTTCTAGTGAATAAGAGTTATGTCATAATAGGAATATCACATCTTTTTTTTGTGCACATTTTATTCCACAGAGTGAGATGATCACTCACGTTTGTCATAATTTTCCATTAACGGGAGCTGGCTCTGCCTGAACAAGTGCTCAAACAAAGGTCATAATTAACTTACACTAAAAAAGAAAAAACAATATGGTTGCTTGCAAAATAAAACCACAGTAGTGTCCAGTTCAAAATAAAAGTGAAGTTCTTGCTCATCTTGATCTATGTTCTGCAAGAGGTTTCTTCCTGTTAAAAGGAACTAATGTTGCCAATGTGCTGTTCAGGATGGGAGATTGCAACAAAGTGATTCAACACACTCGAGACAGAGCTAGGCCAAAGAGGAGGCAGCTGAACTGATTACAGACTGGGAACAGGTGAGAGGCTGGTCGACTAAACAACACAGAGGAGCCGACTGAGGATGAGTGAGAGATGTCACAGGAGCAAAAAGGAGAAACAAAAATAGAATCACAGAGAATGATCAGGATCTGAGTTTAGGGAAAGTAATTTCACAGAGAAAATGCATAATATAAAAACACAAGTAACAGAATTCAAAACACAAGAACCCAAGAAAAGAACACAGAAAGATAGAACATATCAAAGTCAAAGTCATTTTATTGTCAAAAACTGCACTATGTACAGGACGTACACAGGATTGAAATTACATTACTCCCAGACCCCTGGTGCAACAATAACCATTTAACATTAAAACATTTAATAAACATAAGCATAAAATGAAATAATAAAAGTTTCATACTGTCTTAAATTGTACTATGGCGGTATATATATATTTTTTAAGTATATCTATAAAATAAAATGAAATGAAGTGAAGGTCCATTGACATTTGTAGTAAGTGGCATATATTCATTTAGGAATAAATCTAAAAATAAACTCTAAGAACTACCAATAAGTAACAAAAACACATTTTTACACAATAATGCTGTGAACAATGTGGAGGTGAAGTCAAGACATGTACAATCATCATACAAAAACAAACATTTGTAAATTTAACCCTTTAAAATAACTATAACACCTCTGGGCCCAAAATGGGCCCTCTTAATAATGTCCACTAAAAATTACTCAATCAAATATTTTCAACAACTTCAGACCTATAGATATAAAGTTCTTGATTATTTTCCATATATTTTAAATGTTTACATTTTTTTTTTGTCAAAAAACTCTGAGATTGTTTTTTTTAATGGGAAAAACACAAAATATGCTATATTTTCCAAAAATTGGGTGCAAAGCGGAATATTTGGCATGATATTATTACAGCCTCGACTAGATTAATAATTGATAACAACATTGATTTTGATGCATTGTTATCTTTTTGGAGTAATGACAGTTTAGTCAAAAATCTTACACGTTTTAATGCCTAAAACGGCCCCTCTCAAAAAAGTTTAATAAAAATATAATGTATATTTTTTTTACTTCCACTGCATCAAATCTTTTCAACA